CCCCGTCCACTCACACCCCTGCACCTGTCCCTCCCGCCCCGTCCACTCACACCCCTGCACCTGTCCCGCCCCGTCCACTCACACCCCTGCACCTGTCCTGGCTCCTCCCTGTCCACTTACTCCTGCACCTGTCCCAGCCCCACCCCTGCCCAGGGCCCACTGTACCTGTCCCTGCCCCTCCTCTGTCTGGCGCCCAATGCCTGTCCAAGCCTCATCTCTGTACACCTGCTCCCTACAGACAAGTTCTGGAGAAAGGGTGAGGGACCCATCTTCTTCTACACTGGGAACGAGGGGGACATTTGGGTCTTCGCCAATAACAGTGGCTTCCTGGTGGAACTGGCAGCCCAGCAAGAGGCCCTGATCATCTTTGCGGAGCATGTGGGTACTGGGTGTCCCCGGGTAGGGCAGGCCGTTGACAGCCAGACCCACCTTCCTGCCTGGCTTTCCACAGCGATACTACGGGAAGTCACTCCCGTTTGGCCCTCGGTCCACGCAGCCAGGGCACATGCAGCTGCTGACTGTGGAGCAGGCGCTAGCCGACTTCGCTGAGCTGCTCCAGGCCCTGCGTAAGGAACTCAGGGCCCAGCAAGCCCCCGCAATTGCCTTCGGAGGGAGGTGGGTCCTTGGTGGGGCGGGGCGGGGCGGGGCGGGGCGGGGCCCGGCCCACCCCATCTGGTCCAAGCCCTACCTATCCAGAGTAACTGTAAAGAGCCCAGAGAGCAGCCTAGGGGCTTTGTCCCTTCTACCCTCTGACCCCACTTCTGTGGCCCCCGCCTCCTCCAGGAAGCCCTCCCTGCCCCCTTTTCTGATGGGACTCTCCAGCCATGCTGGGATGTGTTGTGCTAACTACACTAGGAGGGGAACCCCCTCCCCCGCTGTGTCTCCAGGCTGATGCCTTGCCCCAGCGAAGGTTGTACCTGAAGGGGCTTGGGGTCAGAATGAGTGCATCTTGCAAGCTGGAGGTCTTGTTGTTGGCCCCTGTGGCCTTTGGAGGGAAAGAGAAGGGGGTTGCAGGCCCAGCCAGGGAACCCCAACGTGGAACCTCAGCCTGGAGGCCGGGGTAGGGGAGGACCAGCCTGACTGCAGGGCCCAAAGCTGTCACCCTGTGCCCTGCGCCCAGTTACGGGGGGATGCTCAGCGCCTACCTGAGGATGAAGTTTCCCCACCTGGTGGCCGGCGCGCTGGCTGCCAGTGCACCCGTCCTGGCCGTGGCAGGCCTCGGTGACTCCTGTCAGTTCTTCCGGGATGTGACAGAGGTACGTGGAGGCGTGGAGGGGCCGTCCCCCAGGCTGGCCCAGGGCAGCGCCTGCCTGACCACACCCTCTTCCCAGGACTTCCACAACCAGAGCCCCAAGTGTGCGCAGGCTGTGCAGGCCGCCTTCCAGCAGATCAAGGACTTGTTCCTGCAGGGAGGTGAGGAAGTCAGGAGGTGCCCTCTGGGGTGCCCTTGGTGCCTGGCAGAGGCCTCCACAGACGCTGTCCCTGCCCTCCTCCAGCCCACGACATCATCAGCCAGGAGTTTGGCACCTGCCAGCTGCTCTCCAACCCTAAGGACCTGACTCAGTTTTTTGGTTTTGCCCGGAATGCCTTTACCCTGCTGGCCATGATGGACTACCCCTACCCCACCGACTTCATGGGGCACCTTCCCGCCAACCCCGTCAGGGTGAGGCTGGTTGTCTCGGGAGCAGGAAGGGCCCCAGCTCCTCAGGGGGCGCTTGCCCTGTTCCCCCCGTGTCCCACAGCCTGGCGGCCCGGACCCAGCCAGGCAGGGGATCTTTGCTGAGACGCCGCCCTGCTGCCCCTCTGCTCCAGGTTGGCTGTGTCAGGATGCTAAGTGAGACACAGAAGATCAGAGGACTGCGTGCACTGGTAGGTGAGTCTCTCGGTTCTGAGATGGTGGGGCAAGGACCTAAGGCCCTGGCCTGGGGCTCGGCCTCCTGTGTAGGCCTGGCACAGCTGGCAAAGGAGCAGAACCTGCACGGTGTGGGCAGTACAACCCCAGCAGTCTAAGGGAGGGTGTGGCTACCTCCAGAAATCCCTCTAACTGCCGGGCCAAGTCCAGCAGGCAGCCACAGCAGCCACTGGAACATTCCCCAGACCCTCTGGTAGCAAGCCCAGGGCTTTGCTCACTGAGCCACATGCAGCATCAGACCCCACGCTCCAGCGTAGGCTGGGCCTGTGGCCATTGTTCCCAGCACCTGTCCTCCCCAGGGCTGGTCTACAACTCCTCCGGCACAGAGCACTGTTATGACATCTACAAACTGTACCAAAGTTGCGCTGACCCCACCGGCTGCGGCACCGGCCCCGACGCCAAGGCCTGGGACTACCAGGTGCCAGAGTGGGGCTGGTGGCCAGGAGGGAGGATGGACGCATGCCCTTGCCTGCCTGACCTGTGTGGGGTATCTGCAGGCCTGCACAGAGATCAACCTGACGTTTGACAGCAACAACGTCACCGACATATTCCCTGAGCTTCCGTTCACGGAGAAGCTCCGCCAGCAATACTGCCTGAACACGTGGGGCGTGGAGCCCCGGCCAGACTGGCTGTACAACAACTTCGGAGGTGATGGTAAAGGCCGGGGACCTGGAGTTGCGGGGCAGGGTCCTGCTGTCCGCACTGACCTGACAACGCATGCACACAGGACCCTGGGGCCTGCGGTCTCTCACCTTCCCTCGCTGTGTCCCTTTCAGACCTTAAAGCTGCCAGCAACATCATCTTCTCCAATGGTGACCTGGATCCCTGGGCAGGCGGTGGGGTGAGTGTCAGCCCGGCTAGCGGCTGGCCTCCCTGCCTTCTCAGCCATCCCTGCTGTCGGCAGCTGTGGCTCTGTGAGGGGCTTCTCATTGACCAATCTGCTCAGAGCCAGGCTGCCTTGACAACTCCACACCCACCTCACCCACTCTGGTCCAGTCATCACTTCCTGTGCCATCTTCCACTCGCTGCTTTGACTGCACCTTCCCTTTCCAATGAGACCATTTGAGGCCCCGCCGTCACTTCATTTCTGCTTTAGCTACACCCCAGGATTGTGATAGGCCAGTAGGTGGGAGATCTGGTGGCATTCTCAAGGAGAGGCTAGCTGTCTGACCAGGTTTCTTCCACTGACCGCAGATTCAGAAAAGCCTCAGCAGCTCAGTGGTGGCCATCACCATCCATGGGGGAGCACACCACCTCGACCTCAGGTGCGGCCGCCGTTTCCCCTCCTCTGCACTAAGGGCTCAGGGTGGAAAGGGGCATGGAACTCAGCCTCTAGGTTGGGTGTCTGCCTGCTTTTCAGGTGGTCCCATCCACAAGACCCCCTGTCGGTTGTGAAAGCTCGCAGGCTGGAGGCCGCCTTGATCCGTGAGTGGGTGAAGGCAGCCAGGCATAAACAGCAGCTAGCCGTCCACCAGGGACCGGGGACCTAAGGGCAGCCCTCACTCAGCTAAGACCAGACAGGACGTGGAGTCGCACATCTCAGCACCTCTTGTGGTTGCTGCCTGGCTGCCTGCTCCATGTCTAGATGCGCCGTCCAGATCCGAGGGCCGGCCCGTGTGTGGACCCTGGGACCTGAGGAGCCCAAGGCTCTGAGCCCAGTTCTCCCTCGAGTGAGGGAGGAGTTGGAGGGAATAAACGCCTGCCAGGGGGCGGGAGGTACATGCCGGCCAGTCACAGGGAAGCCAGGACGCTGCTTGGCCCACCGATCCAACATTTAATAAAGCAGATTCCTCAACTCAAGTGTGACGTGCAGGGTGCTCTTTCCCAGGGGCCGGTCTCCTGCTCCCAGGACAGGTCCCATCCTGGCTCCAGCACAGCCAGTGCCAGCCTCTGCCCCACACCGGGTCCCCTACAGAGCACCTCTGGTTAGGAGGCCAAGGCAAGAGATGAAGAATGTGTGCTTTCTGTCAGCTCCTTAGAGCCTGTCTGCAGGCCAACTCCAGAGAGAAGTCAGTCACTGTCCACTGCTGGGCAACATGGGGCAGGCTGCGGCTAGGAGGCCTGGCCACTCCCTCCACACGGGGAGGGCGCCAGGGTCTCCTAGCAGCCATGAGAGCCACAAGGCCCAGGGACAGCTCATGACTGGTCCTTCCAGAACACCTGTGCTTCAGGTAGGTGAAGGAAGAGGACTGCTCTGGGCTGCACACAGGTAGTGAATGGGCCCTGCAGGAGCTGGTGGACACAGTCAGTTGGTCCATGTGTCCTCACCCTGTGCTGCCCAGGCTCTAGCTTTCCTGGGGAAGAAGGATCTTGCAGGAATGACGCAAGTGCTCTTCATGCTCAACACAGAAGGGTGGAGCTAGGCTATCCCAAGGCATCTATCCGATCTAGGAGGGGGTCCCAGCTAGTGGGCTGTATGACAAGGGCACCACACTAGACACAGGGCAGGCGGCTAGCTCTGGGCCATGCCCGGCACCATCCCCGGACAGTGTGGCCCTCACTTGCAGAACTTCTCATTCTGTTCTTCCCACCTGCAGCAGACACCAGCAGGTCTGACTTCAGGGGACAGATAACAGTGTGACCCAGAAAAGCACTGCTGACCTCACGGAACAGATAATGGGCTGTAACCTGGAAGAGCATGCCGACCTCTGAAGTTGTTTCTGAGACCCCTTACACATAGAGCAGCCATCACAGGGGGGCAAGTCAAATTTTATCCCAGCTGAAAAGTCCCATTCTACCAGGGTGCAAAGTCAAATTGCTGTCCCCCCTCCTGTGAGACACCATGGGGTGTCAGGAGGATCCCTGAGTCCAACATGTAAACACCAGAGCCAGGTTCAAAGCCTCAGGGCTCCACGGGGGTCTCAGAGGCCCATGCCAATCCTTGGAACTCGTAAGTGCTGTTAGCTGGAGCAGAGCGGCTGGTGGGCCATCCCCTTGGCTCTTCTCTGAACACAACACAGGCTCTGGGTTCTAAGCAGCCCAAGGGGTGGGCTGCGGCCCTGGGAACCACCAGGGCCTCCTTGCAGCTGGCAGACAGGTTGGATCAACATTATGAGTAGGGAATTGTAATCCAAATTTTGAAGGAAGGTCAAGATCTTCTGGTAAACTAACTCTCCCTGAGCCACACACCTGCTGATCTGGTTCTGTTCTACACAGTGTCCTGTGAGCAGCAGAGACGAGAAGCCGGGGCGGCAAAGAGCACTGGTGCTCAGTGGCTGCCCGATTTCACACAGGCCTTTGAATATCCCAGACCCAACTGGGCCACCTCTACCTCCCAGCAGTTCCTAGGCCAGGAGCTGTCCCCTAGGTGGGAGCCCAGATGGGCAGGGGATGGGCCTCGGTGTTGAACACATAGGAGTCCAAGCTGAGCAGGTCTGGGTCATCAGAAAACAGCAGGTAGAGGTACTTCAGTGTTTCCCCTAGGAAGAAGCTCTCCATCTTGTCCCTGGGCTCAGGTCTGTGGGAGTCCTGGACATTGTTGATAGAGGAATAGCCACCCGAGGGGACCTGCATAAGAGCCAAGGCCTTGAAGATGAGGTGGAGCACAGGCTAGGCTCTCCAGGCAGGGCCTTGGGAAGAGCCAGCGGGAAGCTAGCTCCAGGCTGCTTGCCCTGACACCCTAGAGTGAAAGTGAGGGCATCCTGGTGATAGCCAAGGTCAGAAACAGCTCCAGAGGCATCTGGAAAATGCCAGCAACCCCTGGTTCCTGGTACAAGAACTGCACCCAGGCCAGGCCAGGGTCCCAGGGTGGTCTGGGAGGGATGTGGCTCTCCAGGGTCCAGCGCCTTGCTCGTGACATAGGTGACAGAAATCTCAGGCAGCTGGGGTCCTAAGCACAGCCTGCCACAGCCAGCTATCAGCCTGGGTCACATCTACGCCAGCTGTGGTGATGAGTGGGCCTGGGCTGGGCGTGACCTACCCTGAACGGGGGCCCTGAAAGACGGGGTGCTGGGCAGACAGCTGACTACCCAGGGGTGGGGCGTGTGCCAGGTAAGCAGGGCAGGGTGGTGCAGTGGGGCCAGCACAGGGAGCCTTGGTAGAAAGGCCTGGTCCTAGGGGCCCTAAGACACACAGCCCCTCCAAGCCTGACTGCCTCCCCATGCCACGTCCTACTAGACAGTCATGTTAGCAGGGCCACGCCCAGCTGGGCTGTACCCAGCTGAAAGGCCCAGCAGGTGCCCCTCACCCCCACGCCACCGCGGCCACTGGCACAGTCAGAGTTCTGCAGCACTCGTGGACAGCCATGAGGGGCTTACCCGAGTATACTTGTTGAAGCTCTGCAAGATGTCCCAGCCCCAGTCTTGGTACTTGCGGTCCCCTGTGATCCGGTACAGGTAGAAGAGGCTCTCCACAGTCTCTGGTCGCAGAAGGTTGTGCCTGTCGGCCGGCTGGGGAAAAGCCAATGGTGAGCACGCACCCACACCTGCGCAGCCAGGCCATCAGGGTGCAGCCAGGCTCACCTTGACCTCCACATCCTGCCGGTCCGCCCGGGGGTACAGGTTGAAGTGTGCGATCTCAGGGCTGAGCCCGGTCTCCATCTGACGGTTCATCTGGTAGCAGGTCTCCATAAGTGCTTGGGCTAGTTCCATGTGGTTGCCCGGGAGGCCATGGTGGACGCCCAGAGCCAGCGTCCCTGGCAGGAAGCACACCAGGTGGTCCTGGAATCAGAGTGTTTCCTCACCGCTGCGTGGGCGCACACAGACACAGACACAGACAGACAGACAGACAGACACACACACACGAAAACCCAGGCAACACATACAGGCTGCAATGCAGGGTCTCCCTGAGGTGCTGACCCAGGCCTTCTAGGCTCTTCCAACCTGTCTACAAATACCTCTGCAGATATGCCGTGCACTAGATACCTGAGGGAGGACTTCATGGAGGGTGGCGACCCAGGGTGTCTGTCTACCCTGCAGGCCACACAAGGACTCGACCCAGGAGTCTGTGTCTACCCTGCAGCAGGGCCACACATGGACATGGTTCACAGGACCATTCCAGGAATGTCAGGTCAGGTAGCAAGTCTCCCTGTGGCTACAGCTCCCGTCCTTTGACCAGGATGTCATTCTGACATCTATGCTGACGACCTTAACAACCACACAACTCACCATCTTGGCACTGAAGCGGCCGTGGGCAAGCTCCCCCACAAAGGTGAGTTTCCTGGGCTGGGAATGCCGAAGCAGGTGTGTCTTTATTCCCTCAATGGCTTTAAGGTAGTCTTCCAATAACCTGTGAACACCAGCGAGTCGTCCTGGGCTGGCTGCAGCCAGGCGCTGGCCGCCTCTGAGGGGTGCAGGGCTAGGCACACTAGGACTGCAAGCCTAGCCCTGCCCGAGCAGCAGACACAACAGGTGCAGCGCAAGGACACAGCAAAGGCTGAGCTGGGTACTGACAGGCTTCTCACCGAATGACCCAACCCCACCCCCCCCCAGGTCTGTGGACCACAGTCGCATCGAGGAGGCCAGGCAGTGGTGGGGATGGGAGCTGGGGTGCTGCACCAAGGCAGCAGAAGTAGGCCTCACTGTGTCTCCTTCTTCCCGCCCTGGATCCACTGCTTCAGCAGGTATTCATAGTAGCTGTCGGCCCTGGCGCCCAAGGTGAACACGCCTGGGTGAGTGAAGAGGCCACTGTGTGTGTTGATGAACATGGGCACCAGCCCATCCTTCTTTCCGGACAGGGAGTGGATGTGCCTCGTCACCTCCTCTGCTGCCTCCTGTGGAAGAGGAGGGGCGGCAGGTGCACTGCAGGTGAACTTCTCACGTTAAGAAAACTGAAGATGGATCATACTTTCCTTAAGACTTACTATATTGATAACTAATAACCAATTCTTTTTATCCTTTCTTTTTTGAGGCCAGTATAAAAACAAAACAAAAATCTCACAGTCTCAACATCTTGACCAGATTTTTTTGTTTCTTTTAAATAAGTTGTGGGGGCTTGAAATCAGTGCCTGGGCATTGTATTCCTGAATTTCTGTGCGCAAAGCTAATGTTCTACCATTTCCCACCACACTTCCACTTCTGTTTTTTTGGTGGTCAATTGGAGATAACAGTCTCATAAACTTTCCTAATAGGGAAAGTAGCAAGGCATGAACCAACAGCATCGAGCTATGCTCAGCATTTTTTTTTCCTCCAGTTGATGCTTTGCCACTTGAGTCACACCTCCATTTCCAGTTTTTTGCTGGCTAACTGGAGTTAAGAGTCTCTTCGATTTATCTGAGTTACTTTTGAACAGCAGTCCTCAGATCTCCACCTCTAGAGTAGCTAAGATGCTAGGATTATAGCTCCCAGCCAACACATTATGAAGGCAGAAATATCCTAGGACCAAAGCTATACAGCAATACCAGAAGACAAATATAAATTACTTTAGAACATTGATGCAAAAATACTAAATACTATTTTAGTAAAGCAAATTCCACAGCATGTTAACTAGATGATGCATTATCACAAGTGGGAGGGACTACTGCCCAAAATTCAGGGATTGTCCAAGACACAAAACCCACTGGTGTCACACACTGCATCAGATGACGTCATTTCAACTGGTACAAGCACTGGACATAAGCCATGTCTCTCGGGAGGCAGACAGAAGGATGGAGAAACACAATACAAAGAAAAGGGCCAGGGCACTACGGTAGAATACAGGATTAGTATGTTCCAGACCCAGGTTTAATCCGAAGTACAGCAAAAGACAAAACAACAGTGGGCTTCAGTGGCTCAGGCCTATTGAGACTGGCATCTGAGGAGAGCAGTTCAAAGCCAGCCTGGGCAGGAAAGTCCATAAGACCCTTTTTTTTTTTGGTCAGTCATGGTGCTTGAACTCTGGGCCTAGACACTGCCCCTCAGCTCTTCGGCTTAAGGTAAGTGCTCTGCCACTTGAGCAACAGTGCCACTTCCGGTTTTCTGGTGGTTAACTGACGTGAGCCACCAGTGCCCCGTGGAAAATTTTGGCACTTATCTCTAACAGCAAAAAGCTAGAAAGTGGGGCTGTGGCTCAAGTGGTAGAGTGCTAGTCTTGAACACAAAAACACAAGAGCTCAGACACACACACACACGCACGCACGCACGCACGCACGCACGCACGCACGCACACACACACACACACACACACACACACACACACACACACACACACACACACACACACACACACACACACACACACTGCCTTGTCCCTGAGTTCAAGCTCTAGCACCAGCACACATAAATTGGAAAGAGGGGAAAATATTAAGAGATAAACACACATACGACCTGAACTGTGATGGTAGCTTGGTCCAGCTGGAACCCTGCCTGTCTCACCTGGAATTTCTTGGTTCCTGTGAGGCGAGAGAGCTCTCGGAATTCTAGCTGGATGCTGGTCACCTCAGCCACTGTGCTATCTGAGGTCCACTGGGGCGGATGGGCAACTCCAGTGCCAATGTTCACATCAGAGTACGGGATCTTGGATGGTGTGGCGAAGGCAGGCATGAGCCGATTTCCAAAATCTTCCTACGTAAGAGCACAGCAAAGAAAGTTCCAGGTCACCAAGAGCCTCGTTCACACTTCAAAACTGTAAGGCATTAGCCATTTACATCCAAGTAAATGGAAAGACAAGGTTTGATGGCTCTCCATTGCCAAACTCATGGGGAAAAAAAAAATCCAGCAGAGAATGGGAGAAAATACTTGAAAATCACTTTATCTGGTGAGACACTGAAATCCAGGTTATATGTGGAAATTTTAAAGCAAAATTTCAAAGAAGAAAAAGGAGCTGCAAGTGAGCAACGGTGCTTTTTCCTGCCAGGTACAGCAGGGCAGCTCGCACACAGGGATGCAAAAGCAGTCTTAAACATATTTGGAGAAAAAACGATGTGACTCCCCAAAAATCCCTCTTCCAAAGCGGTGAGGTCTGGAAAGCCGTCCATGGCCACCCGAGGCAGCCCCAGGCCGCAGGAGGCACTCACAGCTTTCCTAAGGAACAGGCTGTCTCCTGACAGGTGGTAGGCACTCAGCAGGCCTCCTAGGATTCGGATGGTGCTCTCAAACAGGTTGACATCCACATTCTTCTTAAAGTTCAACTTCTGTGATACCCACTTCCGGGCTTCTTCAAATTCTGTGACATTAAGAGAGTGAAGGTTAAGGGAACAAGCCTATCGATCTGTCGTCTCCCTGGGTTTTTTGCTTTGTTCTGCTGGTACTGGGGCTTGACCTGAGGGCCTCATGCTCAGCATGCATGCTCACAACTGCTACTCTACCACTTGACCTATGCTGCCAGCCTGGCTTTCTGCTCCAACTAGAGATAAAAGAGTCTCATGGGGATCCAGGCACTGATGACTCACACCTGTCATCCTAGCTACTCAGGAGGCTGAGATCTGAGGATCACAGTTCAAAGCCAGCCCAGGCAAGGAAAGTCCATGAGACTCTTATCTCCAGTTAACTATTAGAAAACCGGACATGGCCCTGTGGCTCAAGAGGTAGAGTGCTCGCCTTGAGCTGAAGAACTGAGGGATAGTACCCAAGACAAGAGTTCAAGCCCCACAACTGATCCCCAAAAAAAGTCTCATGGGGGCTGGGAAGGTGGGTGAGTGGAAGAGTGCTTGCCTTGCATGTATGAGGCCCTGGGTTCGATTCCTCAACACCAGCTAAGCAGAAAAAGCCAGAGGGCTGGGAAGGTGGCTCAGTGGTAGAGTGCTTGCCTTGCATGCATGAGGCCCTGGGTTCGATTCCTCAGCACCACATAAGCAAAAAAGCAGGAAGTGGCACTGTGGCTCAAGTGGTAGAGCGCAATCCTTGAGCTGAAGAGCTGAGGGACAGAGCCCAGGCCCAGAGTTCAGGCCCCACCACGGGCGGGGGGGGGGGAGACGGGGGGGGGAGCAAAGCCCTTGATGAGGAAAACACAGAACCTGGCAGGGGGGGGAGCAAAGCCTTGAGGAAGTAAACACAGAACCTGGAGTGTACAATGTGGACTTGGAAACAAGAGACACTGATGGGGCTCCTCAGTGCCACACATCATCAGGGTCCCACGAGGACTAGCATCCACATGGTCTCAGGAGGCCATCTCAGAGAGATGCTACTGGGAGACTTCCCAACGGGACAGTGCACAGAGCCCTCAGTGTGGGCGAAACATGTAAAGATATCATGCCTCCTCTCCATAGCCACGCCCCTCTCCCCACGAGTTGTCGGCTCCCTGTGATGGGTAGGGTCCACTCCTAATACCATAGTGCCCTCTACATATTCCTGCAAAGCCTGATCCTGGAGTCCCAGGGTGGGCTTCCCTATCCTCTTGTACTCGGTGGTGCTAAAAACACAGAGAGCAGAGTGCCCTGCAAAGCCCTAGAGTGACAGTCCAACCTGAATAATGAAGACTGGAGACACTTATTACCTCAAAAGGCCTTGTACAGAGGTCTAGCATGTACAGGGCTGAACACAAGTCCAAGTGCAAGCTCGCCCTCAATGAACAAAACCAAGATCCCAGTGACTTCTAGGCACTGCCCAAAGACCTGCCAGGTCCGGTCCTGCCAAACAACAGCTTTGCCTTCACTTAACCCAAGGCCCAGCATGGCCCAGGCAGAGAGCAGCAAAACCTGTGTCTGCGGCTCAGGCAGAAGATCAGGGTCATCAAGAAACCATAGACTGTCACTGGGGCTGAAGAAGGGTAAGGATTTGACAAAAGACCACAAATGGCACATGAATATGGAAGGATCTCTGTACAGGGTCTAGCAGCAGGCCACTGCTGGCATGCAGAGCACACTAACCTCCAGACTCAAACCCAGGCCCCGGTAAGACATGCAGGCCGGGTGGGAAGACTCACATGGTTCTTTCTGCATCCTGGCTGCCACCAAGTAAGGCTTGGCAGAGGCTTCTGCTCTTCTGGAAGGGAGTTCAGTGTTCTGCTCAGGCTCAATCACTGCGCCCCGCCAGCTGCAGGGAAAGGAAGGGCAGCTAGCTGGAGGGACAGCTCCATGAGCACCGTCCTCCCGCAGCAACCAGACCCAGGGCAAGTCAGCAGCTGGGAAGCCCAGACAGGCCCCAACACGCCAACACCTTCCAGGCACAGCAAGGGCAGGTCAGGACCACCTGGGACGTGGACAAACAGTGCCAGGGCCACTCACACAAGCTGAGAGGCTGAGGCGTGTGCAGACCTGTGGGCAATCCTAAGAAACAACACTGCAGAGGGCAGAGGACCAGGTAGGTAACCACCGGGTCTATCACCCAAGCCCAAAGCGAAGTTTGGTGGACACGGGAGCTAGGCAGCCTCCTAGATTGGCACATGGAAGCCCACTTTCCTTCTGGGGTTACAAGTAATGATCACCACGCCAGAAAGGAACAGAGGGTTTGTCGCATGACCTCTAGATAAGGATGGGCCCAAAAGGTCTCAAACAACCCGAGCAGATTTGGGCCTTGGGTCTGCTATTGTGACTCAATTCCAAGGGCTCAAGTCAGGAGCACAATTGACTATACTGTCATTGTGAGTCAGATGCTTTGACTCTGCAAATGTAATCAAGAGGCTCCACTGGCCACGCTCTACCCCAGGGACACTTCGCACTGGCTCCTGTATGCCTGTGAGACCAAGGCCTGTGTCTGTAAAATGCAACTCTGGAGGCGCAGAGCCCCGGCTCAGGCCGGTCCCGCCTGTTAGCACTCATCTTGGCAGCCTGTGTTCTGTGTTCATACTGTCCAGAAGAACTCAAGGTCTTGTCTAACCCCGGTTGGAGCAGCTGTGGTGTGTGGGCTAGGGAGCAAACACAAAGGCCCACACACTGCCTCAGCAGCATGGCGATGCTACTCCAAGCCTGATAGGACCTAGGGCTGAAAGAAGGGCCTCAGAAAGGGGTGTCTGCCAGACAGGCGCCAGCCCAGCCACGGATGTGGGAGGAAACACCTTTACCCCTTAGAGAAGGACAAGGACCAATTTGGTTCCCATCTCCAATCCTTAAAATCTGACTATAACATAGCTCAAGGAGGACCACACAATTTCAAACAAAGTAGTGTGGACAAGACACCCAGTTTTCATTACAAAAACACCCCAAAAGGGGGGGTGGGGGGAGGCTGGGAAGGGATGTGAAGGATAAACAAAGGAGGAGGCTGCAATGCTTGCTAAGAAATGTATGCATTATCCTGCCCATGTAATTGTAACCCCCCTGTACAGTATGTTCACAAATAAAATTAAATAATAAAAAAAACACCCCAAAAGAGCTGGGAAGGTGGCACAGTGGTAGAGTGCTTGCCTTGCATGCATGAGCCCTGGGTTCGATTCCTCAGCACCACATAAGCAGAAAAATCTGGAAGTGGCGCTGTGACTCAACCGGTAGAGTGCTAGCCTTGCTTGTGCTGAAGAGCTGAGGGACAGCGCCCAGGCCCAGAGTTCAACCCCACAACCAACAAAAAACCAAAAACCACACCCTATCAACTTGTGTACTGTGGCCAAATAAATAAATCCAATAGAAAACAAAAACAAAACATCCGGCTGGCCTCCAACACCTGCTCAATCTGACCCCAGCACAGTACCTGATGACTGTGTGCTGCGTGTTTTCTTCCTGGTGAGCGTCCCTGGGGGCCACCTCCTGCTCCTTAGCCATGTTCTGTGTGCCATCTCTGGACACTGTGTTGGGGGCTCTGATCTGCAGGTGGGGAGGTCCCCGCCGGAAATGCTTTCGAGGCTTCTGCACAAGAACCAGAACCATAGGTGAGAATACCTTACCTGCCTGTGAGCTGTGCTTAAATATCTCTTTCTCAGATGCATGCCCACCCTGGGAAAAGAGAATACATTGACATGTTCCACCCAGCCTCAGGGGGGAAAAATAAAGGCCTGGTACCAGTAGCTCACACCTATAATCCTAGCTACTCAGGAAGCTGAGATCTGAGGATTGTGGTTTGAAGCCAGCCTGGACAGCCAAGTCCATGAGACACTACTTCCAGTAAACTATCAAGAATCTGGGCTGGGAAGGTGGCTCAGTGGTTGAGCGCTTGCCTTGCATGCCTGAGGCCCTGGGTTTGATTCCTCAACACTACATAAGAAAAAAGCTGGAAGTGGCGCTGTGGCTCAAATGGTAGAGCGCTACCCTTGAGCTGAAGAGCTGAGGGATAGCGCCCAGGCCCAGAATTCAGGCCCCACGACCCGCCCTCCCCCCCCCCCCCCAAAAAAAAAAGAATCTGAAAATGGAGCAGTGGCTCAAATGGCAAAGTGCTAGCTTTGAGCAAAAAAGCGCAGGGACAGCTCAGGCCTTGAGTTCAAGCCCCAAGACTGATTACCAGTGTCCCCCACAAAAGAAAGGAAGGAAGGAAGGAAGGAAGAAAGAAAGACAAGGTCTACAGGTCTCCAAGCTGCATAGGCGCTTTCCAACTGGCTGGCAAAGGCTCACACAGAAGTGGAAGCTCTGGTTAGGACCTAGAACAAGCCCTTTGAATGGATTTAAATGGCAGATAGAGAAGCAACAGCTCCTGCTTGCTCCTTCAGCCCACTCAATCCTGAACAAGCGTGAAGGTCTGTAAACGACACATAGCTAGCTCTCTACTGCCTACCCCTGCACCACTCCCACCCCACAGCCACCAAGTCACCAGCTGGCAAACCTCCCAGCCATTTCCTGCTTTCACAGAAGCATACACAAAATCCCACCCTTACTTTTACTTAAGTGGTAAAAGAATACTTAGCAGATAAATGAGAATATGGTATATCCATGTAACAGAAAGATCTAGATATAAAAACAGGCGGGCAGGGGTATTCTTGTGTGAACCAGAATCCTCATCTGTTCACATGTGTATCCAAATCTGTCAAAATAAAATATACCAAATGTTTCAAAGCTTGGCCTGGCTAGGACAGAGCAACAGTGAGTGTTTACTTCCCGCTCTGTATGTTCTCTCCTGAATGCTTGCCCTGAAGCCTGTTAAAGCACAAGCTAAGTGAAGGGACAGTGGTGGAACTCTCATCTCAGGCTCTCACAGGAGCCTGAGCCAGAGCAGGTGAAAGGCTTATTTTTTTCCCCCTTGTATCAGTGGAATTCAGGGCTTTGTCATGCTAGGCAGTTATTCTACTACTTGAACCATTCCTACAACCTTTTTTGTTTGTTTGGGGTGGCACAGGGCTTGAATTCAGAGCTTTCTCACAACTGGTGCTGTACCACTTCAGCTTTGCCTCCAGTCCTGCTTTTTTGTGTCAGTCCTGGGGCTTGAACTCAGAGCCTGGGTGCTATCCCTGAGCATATTTTGCTCAAGGCTAATGTGCTCAAAGCTACAGCTCCACTTCCAGCTTGTTAGTAGTTAATTGGAGGTAAAGATTCTCACAGATTTTTCTGCCCAGGCTGGCTTTGAACCACAATAATAAGATACCAGTCTCCAGAGTAGCTAAGATTACAGGTGTGAACCACTAGCACCCAGCCAGCTTGGCTTTTTTTCTGACTAACTGGACACAGTTTTGAATATACTTTGTGCTTAGGCTGGCTCTGAACCAAATTCCACCAGATCTCAGACTCCTCAGTAGCTTGGATTACAAAAATGAGAAACTGGTGTCAGGCTACTCTGATTATTTTAGAGATTATTTTGCCTGAACTAGCCTGGACCAAGATCCTATTTATGCTTCCTGCTGTAGTCAGAATGACAGGTGTGTGCTACTTTGCCAAGTTCCCCCCCACACCTCTCAGCTGATACAGTCTTGTAAACTCTTAATTGGCTAGGGCTGTCTAGAATTAGGAACTTCCCTCCCCCCCCCCTTCCCCTCAACCTCAGCCTCCCATATAGGTAGGACTCTAGGTGTAAGTCACTATGCCCTTAGGAAGAAGGTACTGGGTCTTGAATTCAGGTCCCCATTATTCTCATTCAGCTTTTTGCTCAAGGCTGGCATTCTACCATTTGAGCCACATCTTTAGTTCTGGCTTTTTTGTTGGTTAATTAGTTAAGAGTTTCAGTGACATTTCTGCCTCGGTTGGCTTCTAACTATGATCCTCGGAACTCAGCCTCTCGTGCAGCTAGGTGTGGGCTGTCAGGACCCAGCTTCCACAGGGTCTTGAGGGCAGCACACCCCAAGCCCTGCTGAATGCAAACGGCAGGTGTAAGGGACTGGTGCAGTGGGGTGCATCTCTCACTCGGGAAATAGCCTCCCTTCGCTTTTGTGTCGTTATGAGAGGAAAGTGATGAGCATCTCCACAGAGAAACTAGCCTGTGCCCACAGACTTGGTCTAAGAAGGAGCTCTCCTACTGAAAGATGTGTAGAATGTCCCTAACCAACCGCACACATGACAGCCTTTCCAATGCCCAGCTTCTGTTCAGGAGCGCAGCCTGCTCGAGGCTGCTCAGCTCTGCACACCGCACTCCACAAAAGGATGTGGTTATCAGAGCAGAGGTGCCTTCTGTTCCTATTCTTTCTTTTGAGCAGTCAGTGATCTGGTATGAAACTCTTCCTCCCCAGGCTCACTAGGGCTGGGACCCACATGCTGGGGTCCCTGACCAGGCTCACTGAGGCCGGCCTCCACTGCCAGCTCAGGAGCCATGCTGGGGAGGCAGATCCCCAAAGATAATATTGACAACAAAGACTTCCTGTGTGTCTTCATGTGACACACTGCAGGGATGTGAAACCTCCACCTGGCACCCAAGATGAACCACAAGAGAAGTACCAAAGGTCCTGCTACATCGACAAGGCACAACCAGAGCTGTAAGGCCAATATCGACACCCTAGTATTCACAAGTACAGGACAACTGAATTATCTACTCCAACTCTCAAGACAGAAATGTGTGGGTCAAAAAAAAAAAGAAAATGTGTGGGTCTTCTCTGTCCTGATCTATCCATAAGTGATTCAATATTTTGCTGTCTGTGATACAGCTCTGGACTCTTGTTTCCCTAATCTGCTTCCCAACCTAAACTACTCAGCATGGATGTCCCATAATGAGGTCTGGCTGCTCCCTAGCCCTTGTAGACAACACATTAGCACCAGCACCTGGGGACTCCCCAAACCTGCCACCCCTGCTCTGTAATCCTGACACTACCTGCCGCCCTCCATACTGCCTCGCAGACACAACACAGCAGAGCCTGCCCCAGGCCAGTTCCTGCTCAGCCCTTAATTGTGTCTCTGTCTGGGGAGCTTCACTCCCCATCCCCATCCTGTGACCCTGACCTACAGGGCATTCCTCTACTGCAAAGCACCCCCACGTGAGCAAGGCTCTGCTCTGCAGCCTTCCACGCCTCGGATCCTCCTGCCCACATCAAGGGAGACCACCAGTGCTGCCTCTACCCTTGGACGTCTTAAGGACCACAGGCAGGGAGGTCCGAGTCCCTGCCCACTGGCCCAGCCCTTTAGGGGTCTTCCTTGCCGAGGTTTTTCTCAGCCTTGCTCTCCCTGCCCTGATGAAAACAAGGGATTTTTCAACCATCAAATATTCCTTCAAGAGGCTGCCCAAGCCCTCAGCACTGCCCCCTCTATACCTCAGCACTGCCCCTCTATACCTCAGCACTGCCCCCTCTATACCTCAGCACTGCCCCCTCTATACCTCAGCACTGCCCCCTCTATACCTCAGCACTGCCCCCTCTATACCTCAGCACTGCTCCCCTCTATACCTTAGCCCTCGTTTTCACATAGAATGTGTACCACCAGCCACCTGCCTGGCATTTTTTGGCTGTCCTCTTCCCTGACTCTCTTACCAGCTTGTGGCTCCTACAGAGATGGGACAAGTCTTTCTTTCCCTACTGGGCACCTAACACAGAAGTTGGCCCAGGGCGGCATTCAGAGTATGCCTTTTCTTTCCCCAGCTGTTAGGCAATCAGCCCAGAATGAGTAGGGAGAATAATTACCTTTTTTTTTTTTTTTGCCAGTCCTGGGGCTTAAACTCAGGGCCTGAGCACTGTCCCTAAGCTTCTTTTTGCTCAAGGCTAGCACTCAACTATTTGAGCCATGGTGCCACTTGTGGCTTTTTCTGTTTATGTGGTACTATGGAATCAAACCCAGGACTTCATGTATGCTAGGCAAACACTACCACTAGGCCATGTTCCCAGCCCTAATCTCAGCCTTCTTGAAGCAGTATTTACATCTTGGACTACTCCTAAACAGACTGTTTCTTGAAAATTACCTGAGGCAACATCTGTGGAATGTCTTCTGGATTGGTGTCTGCTTTCTGTGGAGCTGGTAAGACGGGTGGGTTTGCTGGTTTCAACCCAGGGATTTCTGGTCTCATCTTCTGCTCTTCTTCAGGTCTGCTACTCAGGGCTATGGAAGATAACCCTTTACCTCAGAGCTCAGAGGAAACTTAAACTGCTCCATAAGAGAAGTTTAGACAGAAAGACAGGGCAGGGGAACACCAAGAAGTAAATGAATTTTCCAAGTATGGTGGTATATGCCTGTAAGCCCAGCCACTCAAAAGGCAAAAGCAGCCGGGCGCTGGTGGCTCACGCCTGTAATCCTAGCTACTCAGGAGGCTGAGATCTGAGGATTACGGTTCAAAGCTAGCCCGGGCAGGAAAGTCCGTGAAACTCTGATCTCCAATAAACACTCAGAAAACCAGAAGTAGCACTGTAGCTCAAGTGGTAGAGTGCTTGCCTTGAGCTGAAGAGCTGAGGGACAGTGTTCAGGCCAGAGTCCAAGCCCCACGACCGACCAAAAAAAAAAAAAGGCAAAAGCAGGAGAACAGAAGTGGCCCAAGGTTAGCCCTGGGCAAAAGTGCAAGACCCTACTTGAGCAGGGCACTAGTAGCTCACGCCTGTAATCCTAGCTATTCAGGAGGCTGAGATCTGAGGATCCCAGTTCAAAGCCAGTCAGGGCAGTAAAGTCCATGAGACTCTTAATTCCAACTAACCACCAGATAATCACAAGTGGTGCTGTGGCTCAAAGTGGTAGAGCACTAGCCTTGAGCAAATGAGCTCATGGAGAGTGCCCAAACCCCGAGTTCAAGCCACCTCCCTCAACAACAACAACAACAAAAAAGACCCTACTTGAAAAATGAACTAAAGCAAAAAAGTGCTGGGCGTGTGGCTCAAATGGTAAATAGCACTTATTGCCCTGAGTTAAAAATCCCAATTAAAAAAAAAAAAGTCATGGGGCTGGGAAGGGCCTCAGCAGTAGAGTGCTTGCCTTGCATACCTGAGGCCCTGAGTTCGATTCCTCAACACCACATAAACAGAAAGGCCAGAAGTGGCGCTGTGGCTCAAGTGGTAGAGCACTAGCCTTGAGCTAAAGAGCTGAGGGACAGTGCCCAGGCCTAGAGTTCAAGCACCACAACTGACCAAAAAAGAAAAAGTCACACTGAATTTGAGAACAGACAATTTCATTATTTTCAAAGAGCTTGACCTAAGCACAGCACACCACCCTTCACTCTAACAGGGCAATGTGTCTGTACAACTGCAGCTCTCTGCCTCTCCCTGGGAACGACAGTCATCGAGGAGCAAGCTCAGAACAGATTCTCTATGTCCTCACCAGAATCTACTGGTCTGCTGTAAACAAATGACAACGAGCAGTGGGGTATTAATGTAATCAACAAGACTGAGCACTCCAACTCAAGACCGATGATGCTCTTTCGCCAGACAGGCTGGAACAGCAAGACTGACACCAGAAGCAAACCTGTGTTACAGCCAGGTACCCTCACAGTCAGTTTGTTGTTTTAAACTGAGTCACTAGGCTCTACCTGCCCTGAGCCCCAGCCCAAGTATCCTTATTGTTTCTCTGATACCTTTCCACTGGTCAGCCATGTGTACGTAGGACAGGAACCCACAAAGAATCAGAAAGGCCAAGAGGAAAAGAATCACGTTCCGCTGTAACCTCGACAGCTGCTTCCATTTCTAAGGAAGAGACAGAGCATGACATTGTCACAGATACAGGAGGACAGGAATCGCGAGAGACCCCGTGGTCAGCCGCACTGGTTTTCGGGGCAGAGCAGATTCCTCGGGGGACGCGCGCTCAGGGCGGGTGGGCGCGGGAACAGCGCAGACCCCGGGCGGCGCAGGGCAGCGGCTCCCGCATCCCGGAGACCGGCCTGGAGGCGCCGGAACCGAGATCAAGGTGCGCCCCGGGCCGCCCTCAGCCCCGCGCCGGGGCGCAGAGCCTCCACAGCCGGGGAGAGCGGGCGGCCCGGGACCCCGCGCGGCCGCGCCTCACCCTCCAGCAGGAGCGCCGCCGCCGGCTCTTGTTGTTGTCGTAGCTCTCGCCCAGGCTCAGCGTCACCGAGATGAAGTCCTGGTGGGGCGCCGGCGGCGGCGGCGGATACATGCCGTCGACTCCGGCCGGCGCGACTCCGCCCGCGGACGGCGTCAGGAAGCCCAAGTCTGAAGCACAGCGCCGGCGGCCATAGCACCACCGTGCACACCCCGCCCATCGTCCCGGACGCCGGTGCGCACGCGCCTCACCTTTCACCAGCCGTCGCGCAGGCGTCCTGCCGTGTCTTCCCAATGCGCACGCGCGCCGCCTCGGCCGCGCAGCGGGCGCGCATTCCTCTCTGAATCTCTTGCGTCGAAGATCCGCGCCTGCGCCGTACTTTACGTCCTGCGTCCGCGTCCGCGTCCGCCGCGGGGCCGTCACCGGGCAGGGCGGGCTCCCAGCCGCGCGGGGCCGCTCTGCGCTGCCACTATGCGGAAGTAGGGCCCCGCTCCCCGGACGTCCGCCGACAGCGTCCTCTCTATGCTTTAGCTCAAGTGGTAGAGCGCAATCCTTGAGCTGAAGAGCTGAGGGACAGCGCCCAGGCCCAGAGTTCAGGCCCCACCACGGGCGGGGGGGGGGGGGGGGGGGGAGAGGGGGGGGGGAGCAAAGCCCTTGATGAGGAAAACACAGAACCTGGCAGGGGGGGGAGCAAAGCCTTGAGGAAGTAAACACAGACCTGGAGTGTACAATGTGGACTTGGAAACAAGAGACACTGATGGGGCTCCTCAGTGCCACACATCATCAGGGTCCCACGAGGACTAGCATCCAC